TTAAAGTCACAGCTGAAATAAAGAACATAAAATTCAACTTGCATTCTTAACTTCAAAAATTTATAACTCAAGCTGTACTATGCCAAATGACATAATTCTTTCACCTATATACTCAGCACTTACACAAGAAATATCCATAATAAGCTTAACATACCAGGTTATGCCTATCATGCTCAAATTCAAATCAAAACAGTACATATATAACATGTGATAAGTTGCTGGAAACAACTTATCATTTTTTTTTTCATGCTTAAATTTTCTTTAAAAATTGAATATATATATATATGGAATGAAAATACATCAATATTCACTTACTATAACATATGATAAAAAGGTAGCATCTAACCTTCTTCAAGAAATTTGAAAATGAAACTTCGGAAGTTGATCTCAACTTATCTTCGTCAAGATTTCTCTCTATTTTTCTTCCTCACTTTATAGCTAAGACTTTGCTTATTTTTGTGTGAATTTCGAGTCTATGGTGATACCCCTTTATATAGGGTAGCAAAGGAGACAATATCACCTTCTTCACATCAATACTCCATCATAATAAACTCATTAGGGCCCTTGCCATTAATGTTTTTCTAAAATCATGCACAAAGTTGAGTAAGCTTTGAAAAGTACTTGTAATGCATGATTCATCTTGTATATATCAAGACAAACTCCTAAATTTGACCAATCCTCCATTATGGCTCGAATTTAGTCTTAAATGGCTCATTTATTGCTTAAAAATACTAAAAAAATGGTTATAAAATAAATAAAGATAAAGAATAAAAATCATAACTTGTAAACTTCTCAAATCTATAGTCAATGCTTAGAAAGGGCCATCTTGTGATCCTAATCTAGTTTCCATGATAAAATTCGTGACTTAATGAAAAATCTCCAATTTACAGAACCGAATTCTGACTTAAAACGAACGGTTACCGAAAAATCGAAAATTCTGCAAATTCAGATTTCCATCTTTTGCTTTTGGCCCCTTTTTTTTTTCCTTTTTATGCTAAAAATTTTTAACTCTTATTAATTATCTTGAAACTTGTAAAAAGATACAAGAAAATAAAATTTTCGGAAACGAAATCGGACTTAATTATCGTCTACAACCGAACATCGAAAAACTCGAAACTTGCGAATATAATTTCGAATATATTCTTAATAATATAAATAGTCCTTCTTGTCTAAATAACTTCTACTTAATCCTTATAACTTATCAAATCATATAAGTCACATAAAATACTTAGGCAATTTATAACATTTACTCGACTAACTCAATTTAATGAAAAACGATTCTGATTTAACTTTAATGTCGAGCCAAATAAAATTCTAAGAGATTTATTAAGGCTTGAAAATATAAAAGATCATTATTAATAGAAGTAAAATAGTTCTAACTTAGAACTGAAATAATTACTTTTATTAATTACTGAATGAGATATTACACTTAACGAGGCTACAACGGTGGTGATTGGACCGGAATGGCCAAAAGAGGAGTTGGCTAAAGAATATCTTCGACGGAAGGGGTTGCTGAAGGGGTGAAGTCTAAGTGGAGAGGCTAAAGAGGAAGATGAGGGGGTCATATCTTTGTTAGAATAACGATCGACTTCACTTGAGGTACCAAAATTTAAAAGAGAAAAATTCAAAAGGAAAAATTTTAGGGTTTTGTGCAGAGAAGAAAAGGAAGGGAAGGAGGAGGAGGAGGAGGAGGATTGAGGTCGAATTTGAGGGAAAGACAAATTGGAAAACAAATTTGAACACGAAATCAAAAGGAAGAATTAGAGACTGAAATACTTACTCATTGTCAAAGTTGGAGATATGTTGCTGGAAAAACAAGGTTAAATAGCTTGGTCACAGAGAACTCCAGAAATCTGCAGAAAGAAGGCACAAATATCGCTAAAGGAGATTTTTGCAAAGGTGGAAAAACTGGGAAAAATTCGGTTTCACGGCCTTTTATAGGCGAGTAGAGCATGGGTTGATTAACCCTGGTTATTGGATCCTGACCAACGTCAATGACCAAGATGTGGCAGGTGGGCTAGGAAGTCTGTTCCAGCTTAGTTCCAGATCGGCCGTTGAATGAGGATAAGAGCCAACGGTGGAGACCATAAGAGGACAAAGTTGAAGGGGCAAGTCTGGAGAGCAGTTGTATCGTGGATGGGATTAAAGGCTAAGATTTAATGGCCAGTTGGAAAGATAGGGATATATAAACCGTCGGACTAAAGGTAAATCTAAAGGACGACATTAATGGAGCATTTAATAGGTACGGGGTACGAGGCAGCATGGATTACGGAGCAGTGTTGCCAGTTTGGCTTTCTGATTGATAGGATCTAACAGGATGGTAGGGGTTTGAATTTTGAAATTCGAGTTAAGGACCAGAAAGAGATCAATAATTGTGGAAAGAAAAGCAGATTGGTCAAAATACTATGGTACAGTAAAACTGAAGGAAACACAAACATATTGGTTGAGAAACAAAAAGCAAGAATTCACCAACCAAAATCAAATACATATCTAATCTTAAATCAAGTTATTACAACTCGACCAGAGTGGGGGATCAGATGATATGGGATACCATACCTGTAGGAGCAAACCAAACAAATCAGCTAATCAGGTCGAACGAACCGGGTGGTTGAAGCAGAGCAGCAGAGATGGTTGATTATCGACGAGAAGTCTTCAGGTCGAAAAGAGCGAGAGGGGTTCAGAGGCACAACGACAGGTCGAGCTAGGGCCCTCGGATGGAGTTCCAGAAACTAGACCTATAGGCATGGTTGGTCGTGTGATCGACCAGAAAGGACGCCACATAGGCTCAGGACAAACAACATTCTACCTCAATTGACCTCGTGTTGGTCGCGCCATTAGACAGTCTAATACGAGAGACTAAGAGAAAATAAGAAATCTTAAGGGGATAAGATCCACACATGAATAGGGCCACGTGGCTGACATTCGTCATATTTAAGTTCATTATGAATGATAGATTATGGTGTTTGGTCGTGTTTATTGTTGGATTGTGAACTATTTTGTTTAATTTATTAATCTATGATAGATGTACTTTTTGTCATTAGTTTGCAGGAAATATGCCCGAAAAAGCGTTAAAAAGTGAGTCGGGACGAAAAATGACAAAAACGAGGTGCAATTGAGGACACACGACTCGTGTGGGTCAGTGACATGAGTCGTGTGGAATGTGACACGGGTCGTGTGGCAATTTGACACGGGTCGTGTGACCACTCGTGTGAGTCTGGGAGTTGTGCGAAAATTGAAGAATAGTCACAGGACTCGTGTGGCTATATGACACGAGTAGTGTGACGCGCAGACCAGTTCAACGAGGACTAGGAATTCTGATGCGATTTCTTCCCTATTTCAACCAATATTCGGCCTACACTATAAAAGGGACTTGGAGAACTCGGTTTTGAGACTTTTGACACTTTTGGAGGCCGAGAGAAAACATGAAATGCACGAGGAATTTGAGGAATCATGATTGAAGATTCGAAAACTAACGACGACGATAGTTATTCTTTCTTTTCTCTTTTTCTACTTCATTGAACTCATGTATTTATTTATTTTTAGATTTGTGAACATGTTTAATTTAGTAGCTAGATCTTTTAGAGATCCTAGGATTTGTGAGTACTCGGATTATTTTATGAAGTGATTTTATTTATTCATTCCGGTCTATCATTCGTTTATCAATTTCTTGTGCTTATATTAATTATGTGAATATAGGGCCTGTGCATATTTGTAATTGACTTTAGAACGAGAGGAGATAGTTGATTGCTAAAATTGGAAAATTTATAGCGTAAGCTAAACAGACCGAGAGTTGATAGAATCTTGCGAGGGAACTAGAATCTTAGGAACTAGGGGAGTTAATTGTTCATCTTGAGACCGAGAAGAGATAGATAGCATTTAATCAACGATTTAGCTTGCTCGAGAGAGAGAAGTTAAATTACTTTAGTGATTATCCATGCGATTGGTAGAATTAAATAAGGTTTTAATGAAATCTTTGCAAGAATAATCGCGAGAAAAACTTATCCTAGAATCTATTTTCTCGATCTTGATTTATTTAGAATAACCTTCATTAGTTAGCTCTAGAATATCGTTTTTCATTAGCTTAGAATTAAAATACCATTCCAATTTGAGTTAGTCTAAATAATATTTAATCGTCAATATTTTGGTATTTAATTATTTTAACTACAATCTCTGTGGAATAGAACCTTGCTCGCCGCTTGCTATAGCTATACCGTACACTTGCGAGTAGTGAAAATATTTTGCGAACAGTGGCCAATAGAATTGGACAGTTTGGGCAGCCCACTTGGGCAGTCATGGGCAACAAGGTAGTAAAGTATGCCTATTATCATACTACATTCTCTACGTACATTTACATATTGCACTTCATTTACTACAAGTGTTAATTTAGGCATCATAAACTCTTCATTGAAAAACCTCTCGAGTGTGAGAGTTTTTACAGGTTCATAGACGTTCAACCGACGAGGAGCTCAAGATCAGGCCGATTGCAGTCGGTCGAAAGTAATTTATGTACTATGGACTAATAGATAATTTTTCATGTTCGCCGTTGAAATTAGATTAGTTAATTATTTCTATTTTTCATTTGAAAATTAAATTTGTAGAAAAAATGCTACGGTTCCGTTACGGAACCATTTCGTCGGGGCTTGTAACCGTTAGATCATCATTTAACCGTCGGGTATAGTTGATCTAATGGTTAAAAATCTTAATAGAATGGTTCCGTAACGCAACGTAGCATCTCCCAATATTTATATCATATCAATCCTACAAAATGTGGAATCTCGAGCCAGGAGTACAATTGTCCAAACGTGTATAAACCGGACCGGTCCGTTGCACCTTCCCCTCTTACAATATTAGTTGGTCGATCTTCCCACCAAATGTCGACCATTCATTTGGATTCTACACTGATAGCGCCACTCATCAACCTCAGATTTTTGCTCTACTTTTCTTGAAGAAAATGCCGGTTCACAACCGCACGAGACTGAAAAAAGAAAAAAAAACAAAAAATGTTTATTTGCACCTCCTTCAATTCCAACGGCCTCGCGCTCCATTCTTCAAAAACCCACACCTTCAAAAGGGTATTCACATCTCAATCGATCAACAAAACCTCAACCCCTTACCCAATTCCTTTCCCTTCTCTCCATTCATCCAAACCCTTGAAATCCAATGTAAAAAGATTCAAACTTGTTGCATCCTCAGCCGCCCCTGAAAACCCCCAAATCTCGTACAGAAGCAAAAACCCTAAAGACATCAACGTTTTGGTGGTGGGCTCCACCGGCTACATCGGGAAATTCGTGGTGAAAGAGCTGGTCAAGAGAGGGTTCAGCGTGATAGCCATTGCAAGAGAAAAAAGCGGCATACGCGGTAAGAACAACAGCGCAGATACCGTCGGAGTATTAAAGGGAGCAAATGTCTGCTTTTCGGATGTCACCAATTTAGAGTCTTTAGTAAATAGCATCCAAACCCTTGGAACTTCCATCGATGTTGTCGTGTCCTGTCTCGCTAGCAGGAGTGGGGGCATAAAGGACTCGTGGCTAATCGATTACGAGGCCACGAGAAACTCCCTTCTCGCCGGCCGCAAATTCGGGGCCTCGCATTTCGTATTATTATCCGCCATTTGCGTCCAAAAGCCCCTCCTCGAATTTCAACGCGCCAAGTTGAAATTCGAGGCCGAGCTTATTCGTGAGGCCGAAAAAAGTAAAGGGCTTTTCACTTACAGCATTGTTAGGCCCACTGCCTTTTTCAAGAGTCTAGCTGGCCAGGTGGAGCTTGTAAAAGATGGAAAGCCTTATGTCATGTTTGGAGACGGAAAATTGTGCGCTTGCAAGCCTATTAGCGAGCAAGATTTGGGCTCGTTTATTTCGGATTGCATTTTGGGGGAGAATTTTGTGAACAAGATTCTCCCTGTTGGTGGGCCAGGGAAGGCTATGACTCCTCTTGAGCAAGGGGAAATGCTTTTCAGGCTTGCCGGTAGAGAACCAAAGTTCTTGAAAGTGCCGATTCAGATAATGGAATTTGCGATTGGGGTTCTTGATTTGTTGGTGAAGGTTTTTCCTTCTTTGGAGGATTTGGCTGAGTTTGGGAAGATAGGGAGGTATTATGCGGCGGAGAGCATGCTGGTATGGGATGCGGAGAGGGGGGAATACGATGCGGAGGGAACACCGAGTTACGGTGAGGACACGCTGGAGGAGTTTTTTAAGAGGGTGTTGGNTGGTGTTGAACTGGAAATTGTGAGTATATGCCGTAATACGTCGGGTGGATTTTTTTGTTAATGGCCTATGTTGCATTTTTCTTCTGTGTAGTATGAAATTGTAGGTAAAGTAGATGGTTTTATTGTTTATCTATGATTAGAGAGCTATGGGAGATCATATTGTTCAGCTGCAACTAATCAAGAATCAGGTAGTTTTCATAATTTATAAGTAATATTGGGTTATTTCCATATATCATAGGGGTCTTTAGGTCACTACTAACAAGGTAGAGATTATTCAAGGCCTGAAAATAACTTGGGATCAAAATTCAAAAGTGCCGTTTTACAGATAAGTCGTGCTAGATTAGAATAGTCTCTATATTATGATGAAGCAAATCATCTTTACGCTTTGATTTACTGGAAAACTATCTATGTCCTGCCGATTGGTGCGTATTTTATTGTCATTTTGTTTGTCCGGCGTTGAAATTAAGATTCTTGTGTACATTGTTAGCACACAACAAAACCTCAGAGTCCTATTCATCTAGGTGTGGAAAAAGTGGAGTTGAAAGAACTTCTGACTGGGGAGCCAATAATCGTTTGCTTTTATTGATAATTAGTTCTATATATTATTTTAGTCTTATTTGCCTGCTTCATTTATAGAAAGGTATGGTGTATTCAATCGACATTTTAAGTAAAAAGACTTTTTAAAATTCAAGATATTTTGACTTTTAGACTTAAATGGAATCAATTGTATCTTATGAGAGAGCATCTTTATCCACATAAGGTTTATAAACCTTCTTTTTACATTCTCAATACTCCACATCATCATAACCTCATTCTTATTCCTAATATCGCAAACCTCCAATAACCATAAAGCTCACAAACCTTCTTTTAATATGTCCCACATGTTTCCCACTTACTTTATTTTATACATCAATTTAATTCATATTTACTAAAAATTTTACTCATTATTTTTTACAATGACATATTTATTATATATCATAATAATATTTATAATTATTTTTAAAATATTTTTTACGTACAGTTATTATTTCAAAAAAGAAAATAAAGAGAAATTTTATTACACATAAACCTTACAATAATATAAAATATAAAAAAATTACATGAAAATAAAAATTAAAATTTGCGTACATAAACTCATCGATATACTACTCCTAATAATCAGGTTCGTTCCATATATGTTTAACTAGGTCATGCCTAAGTTGATGATGGACTTGCCTATCTTGCATTTCAGCTCTTATTTGCAAGTACCGACGAAAATTTGTTGGATGACCGTGGTGTGTTTGGATAGGCGGTTCACCATCACCATTGGACCAATTGGTTGCCTCCTCACCCTCGTCCTCAATTATCATATTATGTAAAATAATATAAGACAACATTATTTCACTGAGATCTTCTTTGTACCAAAACGAGCTGGACCACGTACAATAGCCCATCTTGACGGGAGCACACCGAAAGCACGTTCAACATCTTTTCTTGCAGCCTCTTGTCGTTGCTTAAACTTTTTCCTCTTCGGATCCTCTGGACACTGAAAGCTTTTAACAAACGTTGCCCATTCCGGATAGATACCATCTGTTAAGTAGTAACCTTTACTGTAGTTAGTGGGTACCATTTACTGTAAAATTTACCTCAGGTACTACCCCAGGTAAGACATCATTGAATAGTGGAGACTCGTGTAACACATTAATATCATTTTGTGATCCGGTTACTCCAAAAAAGGCATGCCAGATCCACAAGTCTTGTGAGGCTACTGCTTCAAGCATTATAGTGGGTACTCCATGATCCCCTCTCGTGTATGAGCCCTGCCAACCCACTGGACAATTTTTCCATTCCCAATGCATACAATCAAAACTCCCCAGCATTCCCGGAAAATCATGTTTTCCCTCATGTAATACAAGTAGATGTTGAATGTTAGCATCATTGGGTGAATGTAAGTATTGGGAAGCAAATATTTGTCGTACACTCCGACAAAACTCGGTGAGACTTCTATTAGCTGTTTGTTCTGACATGCGTAAGTATTCATCACACTGATTGGCAGGTGCTCCATATGCCGATTGGCGTATAGCAGCAGTACACTTTTGAATAGGTGTAAAGCTTTTTCTACCAATTGCATCTTCTCTGCTCTTGAAATAATCAGAATGTATTTCAATAGATGAACAATAGGAGAAAATAAACGTCTAGACATACGAAATCTACGACGAAAGAAGCCCTCGTGATAGGTGGGTTCGTTAGAAAAATAATTTCTTACTAGTAGAGTGTGTCTAGCACCACGATCTCGGTGCACTACTCGCCTTTCTCGTCTTGTTGAATTTTCAGCTTGTTCGGATTCTTCAAACTCATTAATAGCTGCCTCCATCAAGACAAATTCAGCCTTATCCCTCAGGTGCTACCCCACGTAAGACATCATTGAATAGTGGAGACTTGTGTAACACATTAATATCATTTCGTGATCCGGCGAGTCCAAAAAAAGAATGTCAGATCCACAAGTCTTGTGAGGCTACTGCTTCAAGCATTATAGTGGGTACTCCATGATCCCCTCTCGTGTATGAGCCCTGCCAACCCACTGGACAATTTTTCCATTCCCAATACATACAATCAAGACTCCCCAGCATTCTCGGAAAACCATGTTTTCCCTAGTACAAGTAGCCGTTGAATGTCAGCATCATTGGGTGAACGTAGGTATTGGGAAGCAAATATTTGTCGTACACTCCGACAAAACTCGATGAGACTTCTATTAGCTGTTTGTTCTGACATGCGTAAGTATTCA